TATTATAATAATCTAATTCTTTGCTTTTACATTTTAGTTTGATTGGTAGTTTTCTTTTGCTAAGTACAAGAATTTATTTCATGTTTAAAATAATCGATTTTTAATTGAGTACTTAAATTATTCATCACTAGATTCAATTATCATCAATATATCTAGGTAAGCGATAGATTTCTCAAAGAGCAATTGATTTGATGTTGTTACGTCGAAAATGTAGTTGCCGGAATATGTGTTTGGTAGTGTATGTCTCATATTTAAGAAAAAAGCCAGTAAATAACCGAAAAAATCAAAAAACCGACAAAAACCGAATCGATAAAAATCGACTTAATTTGTTTGGTTTGGTTCCAATATTTGAAAAATCGACTTACTTGGTTTGGTTTCTTTTTAGGGAAAAACCGTCCCAAACGGAACCATGAACACCCCTAATTTCAACCCCTACCGTTAACAAACTCTTCAAATTTGCCCATAACCCTAACGATCCTACAATGTGGCAGCAATCTCACAATTTTTTTTCCACCTCATCTACCAAGTCAGTTTAAAAAAAAAAAGATGCCAAGTCAGATGGCCCAGGAGAGAGAACAAAATAAAAGAGAGGAAAGTAAAGGTGGCAGAGTCTTCGCCGGATCGGGTCTGAAACCTTCTCCGACGTCTTTTAAAACCAGGCTTACTTATTAAAAATGGAATGTAAAAACGAGGATTTACCTTGTGGTTTGGAAATAAATGAGGACTGCATTTAAGATATCTGAGATTACTATTTAATCTGTGCCTTATTTTATTTGTTTTTTCTAATCTAATTGACTGCTCGCACTTGGGATATGAGAGAGTCATCTTCTTCTGCAAATATACCGCAATAGTGAGGTTGCTAAGGGTTTAGCTGACTTGCTATGATGTTGCTAGGAAGAGTCTCGGTGGCGGATATTCGATATCCGTCTGCTCTGCTGGTATTCATCTGCTTGCTAAGGCCATCTTCAATCTTTACCTCATTTTTTATTCCGGAAATGGAATTTTCCCATTTTGGGATAACTTACTCCAACCATTCCCCAATTTTTTTCCCCAAACTTTTTTATATTCTTCTCTCTTCTATATTATATTACTAGTCTCGCGCGTTGCGCGTGTAACCTATATCGATGAGAATTATTTTTAAAAAAATATATAAATAACATTCAAACATGGTTTTAGTCACAAAAATAATATTAATTAAAAGTTTGAATTCTTGAAAATGGTAAATATTGATCATGAAATTGACACACATAAAAAGAATTTTATTCATTTATTCATGACCTTTTCTAATAATATTTATTTAAGTAACAAATTAAGTTAACGTATACAAAAAAATTTATTACAAATTTGAAATTAGAATAACTTATGAATATTGCTTTTGTCTTAATATCCATGTATATTATGATTCGTTATATAGGCGGATCCAGGATTTAAAGTTAATGGGTTCCTACAATAATCTCAACTTAATATACAATAGTTTATGGGTTCACAATGTGATATTTATCGATATTTAATGAATTTCTTAGTACATATACAAGGTATAAATAAAAGTTACTGGGTTCCGGTGAACCCGATCTTTGTACTCTGGATTCGCCCCTAATTCGTTATGTAGTAATCAATAAAAATAGACAATTAAGTTAATAATTTTATCATAATATTATAATTGATTTCAAAATTTTAATTTTTAGGAAAAATAATTAAATGTCAGTGTTATCCTATGTGAAATTTATTTTTAAGGGTAAGAGGATTTATTAATATTTCGCTCTGAGGCTTCGTGTTTTTATAATAGCTGATATATATATATGTTTTTATTGATTAAAAAAATATAACAACATATATTTTGCTCGCAANGGCTCCAGGACAGGCCCAAAGCGAAGGCAAACAAGAACTGGGACTTGGGCTCAAGTCCGCACAGGCCCTTAATTTGACGAAATTAAGTAATTTAAGGGGCCTGGTGATATTCTGGCCTGCTACTATGTAACTGGGCCATATTAGGCCCAATTCTTATTGCCCAAAACGGTACAGGCATCAATGCTAACAAACCAGTACTGACTAAAAGTTTGACTCCCTAATTTAACCAACTTTCGACATCAATTAACAGTGATTCAATTTATGAGCCAACTCTTTTGCTTTGCCCCTTTTTTTAACTACCAGTAACTGGACAAACTAGATTAAGTAACAGGTTTACCTAATTTACCAGAGTCTTATTAACCTCAGCTCTAAAATTTAATTTGCGGCGTCTAGAACCTCCGCTAGTTAAAAAAAAAAAAGGCGCTAACAATCACAATATTTCCTTCATTATTTTGACCTTCCCTCTTTTTTTTTCAGTCTCTTCTTTTAAGCTTGATAAAAAAAGCCCTAAAAAAGGCGCTCATCTTTCTCAAAACTCTCCTTGGTTCTAATGATTTAGGGTTCAGAAAAATTCTTTCTCTCTTCTGAAATGGCAAGTCCTCTTTCTCTCTTTAATGTCCCGTTATTTGAATTATCATTGATTTAAGTAATTTATCTGTGCGATTTTTCGGGATTGACATTGCGAAAGTAGTTGATATTCGATTCTAATTCCTCTTAGTTTGATATTTGTGTGATTTTAATTTGTGTAATGTGAATTTCAGCAATTACTTTTGAAGTGTGCTTGTCGTTGAATCTCGTCACAAAAGGTACAACTCGAATTGAAGCTCTCTGTCCTCTCCTTCCTAATCTGTTGAAAGGTCAAATTAGGGTTTTTATTATGTTTTCCTAATATCTGAATTTCAGTAGTTTTTGTACGTGATTTGATTAGGTTCTCTCTGCTCCAATTTTAGTATTTTTTGCACGCGGTTTGATTTAGGTTCTCTCTGTACGCCATTGCTGGAAATTTGTAACAGCAATGGAAATGAAAGTTTACAATCAATGAAACATAATTTCACAAAAAGCCTTTCTCTATAATTTTTTTTATTATTATTAAGATAATTAAATTATATAAAATTAATTAATTTTTGAAGGAACTCGAAGTGAAAGGGCACCGTCTTGTGCAAGGCAACGAGAGTTGGCCCTCTATCATCTTCTATCTGGTAGACTTGGTAAAAGGACCAAGGAGGATCCTATCCTAAAGGAGAAAGAGGAGGAGGAGTAGGAGCTAGCTTTAGGGGCGGAATCGAATAATTACGAGATAAACAATGAGACAAAGGAGAGGAATCTTATTTATTCTCTTTCGTTTTGTTAATTGAAGAAATTATTGGAAAATAAAAAAGCAAGTACAAAAATGAGTAATAACCCCCAGTAGAGACTGGTACGATTCAATTCAACATTTTGTTCGTTCGGGTTTGATTGTGTCGTAGCTCTATGATCAATAAAATTTGAATTACTGAGTGTATTTTTCAAATATCATACCAAAAATTAATAAATATAATTTTAGTAATTT